AAAAAATAAAAAAAATAAAAACACTTGATCTTCACATACTGAAAGCAAAGAATGGTTTGGATACAATGTTCAACCTCGTAGCTTTCTTCATCCCCAGCCACCATGCCCACAGTTTTAATGAAGGGGTGCCCGGGGTTGTCCACCCCAGTCTGGATGCACTGATCCAGGGTCCAATTGTTGGGCGTTGCCTTGTCCCTCAGACGAGCATAAATGGTCGGAGTCATTGCTGCTGCCATGCAATTGTTGTGCTTCCTCAGGTCAGGGTAATCAGCACTGTGGAAATTAATTAGTAATTGATTAGGTGTAATTTTGAGAAAATACAGTTTCCTTGACAAAAAGAGCCAACATAGAAAAGGCAAATGAAATCAATAGTTCTGCAGAAAACATATAAATAAATGCTATACAAAGAGGTTTCCCTTTACCCTTAATTAGTCAGAGTCTCCAATATGTGCTGAGATGTGAGGCTGTAACTATCTAGTCAGCTAAATCTAATACTGCTTTGTTTCTGAAGGTTTAAAAAAACACTTCCAGAAATGCACCTTGGGGGATAGAACCTCCTCCTTTCAGCTGCAGCAGTGTTATCATTGAGGAGAAATGCAGATGCCAAAGTGCCAGCTCCCATGGCCATCATCACTGCTGTGTTACGACCAGTCATCATGCGGGTGAAAGAGTTCGCCATGACTATTTGGTCAAGGTATTTCCTGGCAAAGAAATAAAAGGTCAGTGTGACGTTTTGCAAACTTTACACAATAAAAGATAAACTATCAAGTAATAACATAAATGAAATATTCGATCCTTGAGCAATTTTGAATCTTGTTATTATCCAACCCAACTGCTTCAGATGAAATATCTGACTTGTTTGCTATAAATGTCAGGCGTAGTTTTCGCTTGTTTATTTTCTTGAACTGTGCACAAAGGTCACAGACAATGAGTAAGCAAATAATTGGAAACAGACTGTACACAGGTTTATCAATTGACAACTGCAGTGTTTCTACAAAATTGTGTGAATTAAAAAAACAAAAACATAAAATATGCACAATAAGGCCAGTAAATGTAGAACTGATGATTCTGCATTTGTTTTTTCCCAAACAAATAAATGTGAAATTAATGTAGTGCATAAAAAGTATAAATGATATTTGCATGTCTAGTAAAAGTAGTAACACATAAATTATATCAACAAAAGACTTTCATAATAACTAGTAAAAGATAAAACATATTTGAGTTAAAATTTAAAATTAGTGTTAATGTGAGCAACTTTTGTGTTTGATGAAGATGTTAATGTCATTTAGTTTCATTAACATATATCTTTTCAGGTTGACAAAACTCCTAATTGCATTAAGCTATCAGATCTTTAGGTGGAAGATACGCCTTCAGCCTGCATGATGAGATTATTCCTGAAGCAGACAGAAGCTCTCTGATTGGCCAGCCTGAGAAACTCTCCACCTCAGCTGACCAGTTGCTTTGTGATTGGATACTAAAAGAGGAGCTGCTGTTTGTGAGTAAAACCAAAGGAGTAACAGAATAACACAACTGCAAAACGTGAACGTTTGCAGCACAGTCGAAATTTCACTAATTTATTCGCAGTTTTTGATATTCAGTCAAATGCCAAAGTGCTATCTCAGGTTTGGAATCAGGCCTGCACACTGCATGATCCGTTTTAACTTACTGAGATGGCCAGCTGGGCTAATGCAAGACAAGCCGGAAGAGAAGAAAGTGATATAGTGAGTGGGCAGGTGAAGGTGGAGTTAAACTGTTACCCGATTAGATCAGAGAGGAAGATGAACAGAACAAAAATATTAAGCTATGAACAAACAATGAGGACAATTTTGGAAGCACAAAAAAGTAAATAAGCCACAATTTCTCACAGAGAAAACAGATAAAAAGTAAAGTAAAAAAGACAAAGTGACTGAAGGCATATAGTGGGTCAGGGGTCAGCATAAATGTGGTAAGACTCACACGAAGGTCAGGAAATGAAGTAAAATGCCCCCCCTTAAAGAGATTATAAAAAGGGGGATTAGTTGGGATTTTCATCCCAGATTTGAAGGTGACATGAGGAGAGAAAGGTAAAGGGGTTAGGCACCAGTACCCTGTGACCTTTGTTTAAATGTTAAAAGGCAACAGTCATTTACTTTTAAATCAATTAGTTGTAGAAAATTTTATGTTGAGTCACATCAGAAAGTGAAAGTAACACAAGTGGAGCTTTGAGAAAGAATGCTTTTAAGACAATAGTAGCCAACAGATGGCTGACACTTTGAACAGTAGGCAGCTTAAAAGACTAATACAATTGTCTGCTGTGTATGAGTGGACAGTAAATGTTCATCCAATGAGCTACTTTTAGCTGAATGAAAGAGCGCAGTCGTGTTGAGTCCTGTATAATATAAGAATAATTGAGGGCTTTTTTTTTTAAATGAGCTTGTAGAAGACCACAGTTCATGAATAAATAGTTAAAATGATGATCCAATTTTATACTGTGCGTGTTTTAAAAGATAAGTCAGGTTTTTCTGTTGCACTGTGAGACTTATGGACCTTTTCAAGAGAAGATGGATCCACTTTAGGCTACAAGACATTGGTGAGGACAGATTTCCAAAGCAAACAGTTTAATTACAAATCTTACCTTTACCTTTGCTCAGCTGAAAAGAAGAGGAGGCCGAATAGGTCCGAAGAGTTTTGCTCAGTTCAGAGAGGCTTGATCTGCAAAGTGAGTGCAGCCTGAAGGATGTGAAGGGATCAGAAACGGACGAAGCTACCGGTGCAGGATTAGCCTCTGCCTGGCCATCAGACAGAAAATCCTCTTTTCTCCGTCACTCATAATGTCTGCGTTCTTGCTCTTATTCTAGTTACCTGCAACCTGAAAACTTGTGCTGTTTGTATAAACTAATGCACACCACGTATAGACTCAACACTTTATGCTTTCTCTTTTAGCATTCATTTTGTTCATAATAAACTTTCATTTTTGCTTTCCAAAACAATTGACCTGTGGCAATTTAGTGTGATTAGACAATTATTGGGAATGCTTATTTAGTGCAATAATTCATGCTTTAATTGGCAAACATTGTCTATTTCAACTAATTCTGTGTTTATTTTATGACCTTCCCTCAACCTCCCTGTTTTGCTCTCCTCCACAGCTTTTCCACTTGCTCCTGATTAAGCTTTCCTGGATCCAGTGTCGTTCTCTGAGTTGATTTATAACTCAGAGATTTATAAACCCTTTGCTCAGCTGGAAATCACATTATGCAAACTCCAGATGCATGGGAATGTGATGCCGGTCCTTCATTTACTTAAAGCTGTTCGTCTTTGTATCCCATCACAACACAAGACAAGACAGCATAATGTGAACCGAGCTTCCCTGAACTCATTCCCTGAAGCTCCCAACTTTATCACTTGTAAAAAGCATTTTTTTTAATGATTTTCCTTTTTCTGATCCTGTCAGATGGTTTTCTACAGCACACACACATATCTGTGTCCCTTTTCACACAGAAGTTACTGAAAGATTAAGACAGCAACTATTCAATATAAAGTCTTGTTTTAGGGAAATGACTGCTAAAAATGTTCGGAGGAAATCAGTCAAGGAGGATCAATTAAATGAATCATTGCTACTTGCCATTTAGAGTTATTTTTCATATACCTCTAAGGAATTCCCTAAGCTGTAAACTCCTCCGGTTTCTTTTTATGGTGTCTTTTCCAAACAATTAAGTCAACAGAAGCTTGAAAAACTAATAATATAAAAGCTTTTCTCCATTCATTTTGGAGCAATTATTTTACTTTTTAAACCAAGAAAATCATTGAAGAGAATAAAGGGCAACAAAGTGGAAAAGCAAGACGTAAACGTGTTGAACATATCTGAACTGGGGGTCGTAAACTTAATTTATTTTATAGATGCGCATCAGTCTTTGTGAAATTTATAGCAAAAGGTTTGCTGTGAGTCTGCAGGTTGGGTGTCTCTTTGTTAGGCTGCAAATGTCCAACTTGTTAACTCAATTTCTTGCAAAAGATCACAATGGATGAACTCTTTACCAGCATAAAAAACAAGGGCTTGTTTGTAGTTTTAAAAAGTAGTTAGTCCATTGAAAATATTATTGTGACAACATGACAGTTTGAGTTAGATTGTGGTTAATTAATTAGATTTAATCCAAACCGTGAACAGTTTGAATATGTTTTGTAATTTAGTGAATTAGCTGTTAATGCAGTAATAGCTTAACTGTGCATCTGCCTTAAATGAATTAAATATGCTTACATTTTGTGTAGTCTTTGTGTTAGACTAATCAAACGGCCTTTCTATTGAACATGAATTGTTTTCTTCACTCTTAAAGATGCAATGAATTTTAAATGTCTTCACAGGGACAACAGCAAGTGGACTGCATTATTTGTACAAAAAATGCATAACCACTTTTTATGCAAGATGTAACAAAATGATGTAATATAAAAATAGACTTAAACAAAGCAAGAATAATATGTATATCTAGCAAAAATCAGGCATTTGATTTTTTTTATTGTTTTTTTTTTATTTTTGTAACCAGTTTGGCTCAAAATATTTTGTGCTGTTCTATGTTATGTGTGTCTGTCCACACATTGTAGCAGAAGAAAAATTGGACCTTGTTGTTTGATTATGAAGTGCTATCTCAAACCTCATAAACCACATAACTGGCTATTGATTAAAATTAAAAATCATTTGCTCTCTTTGACAAACACCTCTCTACTGGAAACGTGGCTCTTCATTTGCAAGACAAAAACAGGGTTAGCGTTCTTTCTTTCACCAATGATTGTGGTGCTTCCTGTAAAAAATTGGGTGAAAAAAATGAAAGTTATCCTGCTTAAATATGTTCCCTCTTATTTAAATGTACAAAATTTTGCCTTATTTTAGAATGTTTTCTGAGATTCAGTCCAACAGTTTCCAATACGCAAGAAATAATTTTTTAATCTCTTATTCTGTTGTGCATAATTTGCTCCTGACCACAGAACCAGTTTAAAAGCTGCAGTAGCATTAACTGAACAAGAGAAAATGCATAAGGCATGTTGTATTTATTTTCCCTGCACCAACAAGTGAAAAATGTAAACAGATAAAGTAACACAAAAACAAATACACATAAATAATTACAACACAAATACAGCAATCTGCTTTTCTAACCCCTTGAGTGAAACAGACATCCAGAACTACAGAGACACATTTTTAAATGAGAAAAAGCTTCAACACGTCACTGTGTCACAACAGGTTGTTTTGTGGCTGGCAGCCCTGAGACGGGGCTTGACAAGAGACAAACATGCCAGATTTAATTGGACAAAATATTGTTTTTATATATTTTCTTCAGCATCTACACAGAACATTTTCATACAGAGAAGCAGCGGCTGAAGGTACAGGAGAAATCCAGTCAGACATGCACAGCATGCAGCTGTTGTGTGCATGCAACACTATTTATCATATGATCAATATGAAAAACAAAGTCTGATCATTCAAATGCTACATTTTTTTTCAATCTACAGAATACATCATTTTTGTAGGTTCATGAGATGCAAAACAACAATTCAATATAAATACCAAAACAAACTTAATTAATTGATTAAAATTAAATAAATGAAAAACAATAGAAATTTTTATTCACAGCATAACAATTTATCTTATCAGTCACATATCTGAGGAGTCACTATATACAAAAAAATTAAATATAGTTCAATGTACTAAATAAATTAAACTGTAAACAATGATCCCACCGTCAGTCAAGCAAAGCTACATCTCAAAGAGAGCTGCCCCTGCCTAACATGCGGTCACTCAGAAAACACACATTCACACAGCTGACAGTTTGCAAAAGCCAAAACATTGTAACTGCACAAAGATGCTGCAAATGGTTTAGGCTGGCAGGGCTCTTTACAACAATTAAACAGTAGAGGGCGATGTTTGCTTATGTTTTCAATGTTGCATTCCCTATCTTTACACCAACATGCTACAGTACCATGGAGCATATGTTACCTATTTTCTGACAAGTTTTAAACTAAAACTAGAATCCATTTGAGATTATTTTTAGAGCACATTGAGGAGTTATATAAAGCTATGACTGGACAAATTGTCAAGTATGCAGAAATTGACCTACACAAACGGAAGGCACTGGAAAATGTCTTAAATTTGTTTCATTCATCTGGGCAATAAGTAAAAAAATAGCTTTTCATTTTTTATAGAAATCTGAGGCTAGATAAAAGATAATTATAGGCTTAAATTCTTTACGGCAAGTGAAAATCTTCGGCAAGAAATATGAAATTTCTTTTCAGTGTGTCGTTAAACAATAAATTTGAGGAGAGCAGCTGATTTTAATCTGCTAAGCTCACTGAGGTTGTGTGATGCCAAATAAAATCCTTCTGGTTGGAGTGCTGTATGCTGAGTTCAGAGGTCAGGTCAAAGGCCATTCAAACAGACACATCCTAAGATGAGATAGTGCAGATTTAATGTGGAGACCGTCACGACAGAAAGCATTTTGTAAGAGGAATTTTTGTTTGGGGCGTTGCGTGGAAATGCATAAGCAACAGAACACAAGTCATGGCACAGAGACATAAGCTCAGTCCTCTCTCTGTAACTCCACCTGTTTATGCTACATCTCTGTTATGTTCATCCACTTCTTTCTCTGCACTCTCAGGCTCTCTGAGGAAAAGTGATGTAGTGTGCACCACACTGTACTAAGAAAACCTTCATGCTGTGCATTCGACCCGCATTCATCGCTCAGACACCTTACCCATCTCTGTCTTCTTCTCATGCTACCTCATTATTCTGCAAAACAGCTCATTTTCTACAAGAAAATGTTCCTTTCCACAATGCTCTGATGACTTTCTTCCATTTTTTTCTTGATGGATTAGGATCAGGGTGGGTGTTTCATCCTCAGAGGTTCGGTGGGTTCTCGAAAACTTCAAACTGATCATTCAGGCAGGCAGTCTGGGCTCGATTTTTAGCGAGAGATCATACAGTGTGTCCTCATCCATGGTCAGAGTCTTATCCATAAGGTACTGAGTCACCTAAGCCAGAAGGACAAATGAGACAAGAGTTTGTATCTTTTTTATTGGGGTTGTTGCTGCAGATGCTTAACATGCTGGAAAGATTTCACAACAGAAAAATGACATCAGCGATTTGAATAGATTTTTGCAGGGATGTGTTTTGTTTTAAGAGTCTATATAGATGGCGTTGACCCATCTCTAAATTCTCTATATTTTTGTTTTTAAGACATCAGACTTGGGACGATGCTTCTTCAAGCATTTAGTGTCAGACTCTAAATGCTTGAGTGCCTTAATGAGTGCCTCTATTAAGACACTCATTCTTAATAGAGTGCCTCAAAAACAGATAAATAATGAATAAAGGCTTGTTGTGCAGAAGACCCACAGGACATAAAGTGTATCAGAAAGATATTTAGAGCAAAAAAAGAAAATATTGCAAAAACCTGAAACAGGATGAGCCTTCTGCAGTAGCTCTTGGAGAACCACCAAATCCTTGCTAAACTAACATTTATTGGTGTTTAAACACATCTGACCTTTTTTATAAATTAAACTAAATATTTTTGATAAAACATGAAACAAAACTTCAAGTGCAAGCACCGCGAAGCAGCTAAAGTCTAGGATTAATATTAAGTATAGATGTAATAAAAAAAAAGGCTGGTGATTCGATTTTAGCAGATTCTGGTCAGAATTCAAAAATCTTGCCTCAATGCATTCAGTCAATACTCCATACATTAGCACTGTTTCTAATGTGTGCATCTTTAAAACCAATTTAGAACAAAGAACAATTTAAAACATGACTGGATTCTTGTTTACAAAATATAAAGAAATAAGGGATGACTCACTGTAATTTTCAAATGCTATAATCTGAATAAACATTCCTCTTAAAAGGTGACAGCCTGGATCAGCTACGAGCGACCAGTATGCAAATAAATTATAGTCACAGCTGCTTACAGAGTATGGCCAATGTCTGCAGCAGGCTATCTAAACTCTGCCAAACAGGCTTATGCTTTTTTTTTCTGGCTTATGCTGCAAATGGTTTAGGCTGGCTTTGCTTTCAGGAACATTGTCTGCTCTTCTCATCCTTATGCATGACATGTGACTCCATGAAAGTTAAAGGAGGGACAAAACAAATATGGGCTTTACATTAACTTCTGGCCCACATATAAGTCATAATAAAATTCATCAGGGAATGCTACCTATTCCGGCACCCACATATGCACAACATATTTTGCACTTTCGTAAATACACCAAGTTTCTCGCTTTCCTAAAACCCAACAAAGTTTTACTCTTCTCTGGACAAAACAGTCTACTTCCCCTAAAAAATATAAAATGTTTATCCATTTTCAGTCTGTAGAACCCTCCGTCTGGTTCGGCATTCAGGGAGAAGAGCTAACTCAAATCTTTTCCGTTATTTTGTGAATTTTAAGACGCTGCATTTCTATGTGCTCAAAATCTGTAACAAATAACCACAGAAATAAAGTCAAGTAAAAGTAACGAAAGAAAGTACCTTAGGTTGATGCTCTATTCTGTAAGGTGTCTGCTGGAACTGACGGATCTCTCTGATGATGTGTGAGATCTAATGAAAATGTAAAAACAACTACTACTAAAAAACAGAGTCCCAATGTATTTATTATTTGGTTAAACCACAATGCTCACCATCCTCATTTTGGAGAAATTAACAAGACCCTCCTCAGTAAAATTGGGAGTTCCTTCCTCGATAAAGGCCAAGTCTGTCAGATACATTCCCAGGTACGGCACACAAGGAGGGTTGCAGCTGCATGACGGACGTTTGAAAATAAAACAGCTTCAGAAATTCACATACATGTCTCATGTGTCATAATAATTTTACATATTGATGCATTTGAACTGTTTTCTTTCAGGTTGGGGTATTTTACAGTATACAAATCCAATAACTTAAAAAAAGGGCAGATTAAAGTTACCTTTTGTTTTTTTTTTTCTCTTTTGGATAAGGACAGTGTCTTACTTTTTCAGCGTCTCCCTCAAGTTTTTAAATCTTCCCTCAGAGGACACGGTCTTCTGCAGTTTGTCCATCAGAGCTTTAGTCTGGAAAATACAACAAACACACAAAGACATTTATTTTAAAAGCATTTCTGCAAACAGCACAAAACAAATATGGGCTTTACATTAACTTCTGGCCCACATATAAGTCATAATAAAATTCATATTTATTGTCTTTCAGTGAATTACAATCTATCTTGGGATTAGAAAAATATAAATGTACTCTGTTTTGTATTTTTGTAATTGTCATAATTGTAATTTTTAGGATTCACATTTAGGCTCGCATTAGAAGTCATAGCTTAATGACATGTTGTACTATGTGGATAGTTTAAAATGCTTATTGCATGTTGTTTGTACCTGTTTGCTGACTTTAGCCCATGTCTTCTTCAGACGGTAGATGGCGCTGCGATTGAGTGCAGACGTGATCTCCAGCACTCCGTTGTAGTTGTTCAGACAGCGGCAGATGTCCGCAACGGCGACCCACTTCTCAATGGAGCTCGCTCTGGAGCCAACATCAGTGTGGCTCATAATCTGGGATGCCACAAGGTTACTCATCTGCAAAGGAAGTGGAAAGGTTTTAAAGCACCGAGTGGGCCCTCAAGATAAATAAGACACATTTTTCACAGAGGCACAAGTTACATCATTGAAATGTTGACTGGTTTTCATGATGTAGGGAGTCCTTTCAGTCTTATCGACCTTCATCCAGCCCTGGCCCAGGAACTCTCTGGCAGAGAGGAGACAAAGACAAACTTCTGAGCTCAGATCAACTTGTTAATCCCGCCTGTCCTGGAAGTCTTACAGATGTTTTCCTCTGGGGTCTGACTGCTTTGTCATAATTTACAGAGGAATTTTAAACCACTTAACTCTGACAAACTAATTTATTAATAGACAGGTCTCTGAACTCTGTAATTTATGGACTATAGAATGTTAATGTTTTCTCACAAGACATCTAAAATAGAGCGTTATGAAAGGACTGACTCGTAGGGAATGCTCCTGAAGACAATGTGATCCAGCAGAGTGATCTGCTCAGCCAGCTCCATCGCAGAGAGAGACTCAAAACACTCAGCCTTTGGACAGTCTGCCTGAACACACACACACAGAAACAAACTCATAAACAAGCATAAATAGCAAGATATAAATGTCTAATACAGGGAGCAACTGTGATGGATATGAGAAGTGACAGCCAACCTTCCCCTGTTGACTGACAGTCAGGAAGAGGGAGATCTGACCCCTTCTGCCTGCAGGACAGGACAATGAGGACTGACCAAGACTTTTCACCTCTTACATGTTCCAAGTCACATAAACCTTTGTGTAATTTTATGTGAATCGAATAAGTTTGGAGTGAATTTGTCCCAATCCTTAGTATAAACTCTAATGATTTATTTTTATTTCAGTTACAGTTGAAAATCAGTGGCTGTTGGAGAAGGTGTGTTCAGGGCATGTGGGACATTTTGAATGGGATTTCTTATGGCTTTTTTTAAATAAAGGCTTTTATTTCTTGCTACTTTTCCACATTGGTCAGACTTATTAAGTGTCCAACAAATAGCTGTCACGTCAATGGATCTTACCATCTGAACTATGGATCTATATTCAAAGCTTGTGATTATGTTTAATAACATAACTCTGCTTAAAATTCTCCAGAAATGTATCTATGCTGTCTGCTTTGTTTCATGATATTCATGCTGCTGTTTGTTCACTAATGTTTTCCAAAAAACCTGAGACTTTCACAGAATAGCTATATTTATACTGAGATCAAATTACACTGAGGTGGGCTCAATTTATTGGCTTAATTAAAAAGAGGTTGCAGCAAATTTTGTTTTGGTTTATTGAAGAAAAAGGGGACTGAATAAAAATGTGTGACAAACTAAACTTTTTATTTGTAAAAAGTTCACATCGGGTCAAAAATTTGTAAATTATTTTGTCTTGCTCTATCGTATCAAATTCTAATTTATTATACTGAAGCTTGGTCTTGTTCTGTGACAAAATGTAAAAACATTGGGGTATGAAGAGTTTTTTTCAGTTTTTCAGTGTTTTTGATTTAGAGAATACAGTATTTTGCAACATTATTAAGAATTTATAAAGGCACCAGCAGGGTGCCTTAAAGCCATTAATCAAAATTAAATGGTGTATTAACTTAGGCTGTAGCTGATGAGGGCAATATTTAGCAATATGCAGGGAATTATTGCAGGATAAAAAGTTTAAAAATGATTTATTTTCTCATAAAATCTGTCATTAAATGCTCTCGGTATCTTACCATCTGTAAAATATCCTCTATCCTCAACTGGGCATCCTCCTGCTCGTCTTGAGAAAGGGCACTGGGAGACAAAAAAAATTCAAAGGACAAGAAAAGATGTTGATCAAAATTTCATTTAAAAGAATAATCCGTCTCGTGAAAGAGACGGATTGTTTCCTTTAATTCAGTTACTGGTGATGTGTGCTTGTGTCGCACCTTAATATGTTGGCAGTTGCTTTTCTCTCCTGGGGCAGGAGGTCTGGATCTCGCAGCACCTCCTCCAGGAGATAAATCACCGACATCTTCAGCTCCCCGTTCATCTCAAAGTCCTAATCACAAAGACAAATAGACGCCTAGACTGAGCACGCTCGTCCTGAAGACACCAACCTAAAACTACTGTAGCTTTTCCACTCTGTCCAGCTGCAGCGAGTCAAGCATCTGGAACTAGTTGTGTCTCAAATATTTCTAGACGCTTGAGCATTTTTCGAACCATCCAGAATCCCCTCCGTCCTTATAGTCTTTACACCTTTTTATGCTGCAAACTCCCATTTAACTCCCATCTCAACTCTAGTTCAAAGGTCAGCATTCAATCTCTTTTTGCTCTTTAGTCAGAAGAGCAAAAAGACCGTAGGGTATGTTGGAGCTCTGCTGCGTGTTAATAAACCTACTTAAGCTGGCATGTCATCGCAGAATTTTGTATTATTGAAGAAACAGATCAATGCAGTTAGCCTAGAAGGACCTCAGCGCAGAGTCAGGCAATTACCTTGATGTTCAACTCATTAAACAATGGCCGTTTCGCAGAGAGAGGCTGTCCGGCTGAAACAGCAACAATATGCTGTGTGTGTGTCTGCGTGGGCTTGTGAGCCGTTTATATTTTTCAGTAGAGAGCAGCGGAGCGGCAAGAGAACCCATCAGTCACCTGCTTTAATTAGACCACACAGATGCAGGAACACAAGCAGGAACAGTCAGACCTGCACACAGCAGTGGGTGTAAACAAACCTGCGAGTGTTTGGAGACCCAGTGACGCAGCACATTGAGCACTCTGTTGGTTGCAGCTCTGCGGATGATGAACTCTTTATCACAGGTCCTCTCAGAGTTAGTAAACACTGCGAGGGAGAATGAACACAGGTGACAAAATTCCTCACGCGTGAGAATTTCATATCAGCAGTGCTGCTACAGATTAGATGTTTACCTGAGGCAAATCCACTGGTCTCAATGTTATGACTCACTTATCATAAACGTAAACTCAGTTAAATGAAAAGCTGTTCTGTGGTCAGAAAAATAAAACAAAATAAAACAAAAAATGAATAATTATTTTTATTTTTATTAGCCACTCTTCAAAATGGGAAAGAGAAGAGAAAGGGTCCGTTTTTAGAGTTCAGGAAATGTTCAAAATGATCTCCTTCATGTAAGAGCTTTCTTATCTTCAGTCAGAGCGATAACTTACAGTGAAAATGAGAAATTAAAGAAAACCTACTGAAGTCATTTAAACTGGATTTGGCATAAAACAAGTGATGAACATGTGGAAAATAAGAACTTCTGGGTTCTTCTGATGCGCTTGGCAAGTTTTTCTTCTCAAGTACCTCAAAGACCTTTTATAGAGCATTGATTTATGGACTCCTTGAAACACCAGAAACCTTCCAATTCAATAAAATTGGAAGCTTTTCCAGTAGTACAATGATTTGTAAATCACGTTTCTCTAGCTCAAAATCCAACCTCTTCAATAAAGTTTGAACTGTTCAGTATGTTTAATGCTAATGCACTGAACATGTATTCATAGTAGAGCTTTTTTCAAACATTTCCCAGGTAACACAATAAATATGAACTTCACTGTATATTTTTTAAAACAACTTTAATATGTAATACAAACACAGAATTCCTTCAAACGCTTCTTTAATGGCTTACGGTTCGCTATGGCTATAAAAAAAATCTTCAAGCATTTATCATAACTTTAAATATTTTCTAATTTTATGTGAACATTCCAGACTTTCTCATATTTTATTATTATATACTTGGAACCAGAAAACTAACATTAGTGCAGGGTAAATTAAAGTGTTTCTACTGTTTTGTTTTGTTGGTTTTGAATAAATATTAATGCTAAACAAACTAATGTTTCATTGAAACATCAGAGCTCCTTGAATTCATCCTCACACGAGTGACAAATAAAAACCTGCATGGGCAAATAATTCTATAGTTTAGCTTTCTAATTTTATTAAAGGTTATGCAATAAATCATTCAGTTCAAAGCTCGGCAGTAGGTTTCTGTACTCTGTGTGCCTTTTGTGTGTTTACCTGGTGGGGTACCATGTCCTGCTGCTGCAGTTGCAATTGCAAACGCTGAGGCAGGAGAGACGGAGCAGCGTGAATTCTCCCCCGACTGAACTGCAGACACAAAGACACATAATTATTATCAGCAGCAGCAGCAACACAGTTGGTTGTTTCTGCTGTTGCAGTTCAAGAGAAAGGAGTGCGTTAAATGACCTCTTCTGACAGCACATCAGGATTACACTGGCTCCAAATAAATCACTTGACGTTATGAGTCATAAGTTTACTCGAAGATTAAAATGTTGTCCACTGAGATCATTCTTCTGTTGTAGTGATTGTTGTAGTCATTTTTACGTCAACCTTAATTACAGCCTGATGAGAAGCAATGTGTTTAGTAATTGCACCACAAAAAGAAAAAATAAAATAAAAGAATGTTTTATTTATTTAGAATTAAAAGACTTGAACTTAAAACTGAGGAGCAAAACATTAACTTTTTTATTTGGAAAGGTCAAAGTTTCAACAAATTTTATTCAGCTTGTCCATTTGAATTTTAAAAACGGTTTCACAAAGAACATTGTGTGACAGATTAGTCCTGCTGAGTTAAATGTTATCTGAAAATTTAAAAATAATCCATTTCATAAATGTTTGACTAATCATAATTCTGCTTGTTCACTGCAAATTTGTGTTGAATATCAAGTTTCATGGAAAGTTTTTATAAACAAAGAAGAAAAAAACAGGCAAAGCAGTAATTTTGTCTCCAGATAAAAAGATGAATACAGAATTGAAATCACTTCCAAATTAAATCTTAAAATTGAAAACAAAAATCACAGTCATCATCAGTCTAAAAACAGTGATTAAGTTTGCAGCAATTCACTTTACAGATTACCATGCACTCTACTAGGTTCACTGCATGCAATACAGCTATTTTAAGCATTTTGTTGATCAGTTGTTGCCACCATTTGAATTTGAGTTTTGTGTCAGGCTGCGGCAGCAGAGGTCTTGATCGGCTCACTAACCGGGCGGCGGCAGAGCGCTGCCATCCTGGCACTGTGGCGTAACCATGTGCAATAAGGCCCACAAACACACCCACGGATTTACCTCCAGGCTGTCTGTAGCGGAGGTGGCGTGGTGTGGAGGGAGAGCGACACGGAGACATGTCTCCTGCCTCGCTGTTCTGCGGAGACTCTGGAATGATTTTCTCCAGCGACACAGATTCCAGCACAGCTAGACAGAAAATTCAGATCAGGAGAAAAAGCACAATAAATGACAGCACTGCTTATAATGATGAACATTAATGCTGCAGTTATACAGGACAAAATGTATAACGATAAAACTTTTTTTATGTAATTATGATGACATCCTTCTATTGACACACTATATATTTATTATTTGCAAACATTGGTTTGGGATTTTACTGACTTATATATTTGATTAATTTGAAGCAAAACATGCATTTAAGTGAGATGGATGACATGTTCAAAAAACGACACCGACCAGAACAGGAACAATTTGACATTTCTCAATATATGAGAAGCTCATTCTCAGAAATTTTTATTTGTAGAAATTTCCTTACTCATAAAGAACATCTGCCTTATTTGAATGGTGTGTTTGGAATGTTCTCTGGTCTTTCTTATTTTAGAGGTGTTACAGAAGAAAGTTCCTGCTACAGACTTAAAAAACTGTCTGTCTATACCCTTGCAGTGGGAAGTTGAGGGTTTGATTGCAGATTTTTCTCCTGCCACATGTTGATGTGTTCGAATGTGACCATTAGTGAGTGTGGCTACATCAGCGTAGCTCTAGCATAAAGAGCTATTTTCCCTTTGGACACTTGGAGGTTGTAATAAGTTGAGGGAAACTCTGACATACTTCTCCGAATGCTCCGTCTCAGTTTTCCACAGAAAGGATCGATCCGCGGAGCCTCCTCCCCGTCGGCTGCTGAGATGGGACTTTGGTCAGGCGAGGAGGGAGTCAGAGGATCCTGTGACGGTTTGCAGTTGTTGGGAGGAGGAGAGGTGGAAGAGGAAGGTGGAGAGGTAGCAGTCGGGGTTGGGGTTTGAGGCGTGGGAGTTTGAGGGGTCTGGGCAGAAGTAGGGCTACTGGCAGCCGACTGGGAGCTGCTGTGGTTGAAGTTTAAGTTGGACAGAGGAGACGACAGGTCGAGGCCTCCCACCCTGGCAGTGATGGGGGAGTGAAGAGAAAGCTTTCGGATCCGGACGGGGGAAGAGGTGCGGGACTGGATGGATAACGGAGGAGGAGACGAGAACTTGCGGCAGAGACGAGGAGAACTATTGTTCGTGTTGTCAGTGCCTCTGTTGTTTTGGTTTGTGGCAAAAAACAACTCCAAGGACCTGGAGAGAGGATACAAACAATATGTTAGCAAAATAATAAGATATTAAAAAAGCAATAAAGAAAGAGTTCAGGAGGGAAAAAGAGAAAACAAAAATAATTGCAGCAGTGTGGAAGATTGTTCTCTCATTATAAACCCTTTTTCTTTTAACACGAGAAAAGTTGTATTGGGGCTGGGATATTTCCTTAAAGTGAAGATTTTACAGAAAACTGGAAGGGCTTCAAGCTTCCTGTTATTAGATTTCTTCAGATTGATTTGTATTGAGCCTTTCAGAGCGGACAAAGGGTGTTAGAGCAGTGACAAATTCTTCATTGTTGCACTTCTGTAACCCAGCACACTGAACTGAAAAAATAAAAACATTTTCCAGGTTATTCTGGTGACTGCCACCTTTAATTCCCCCAATGTTTAAATTCATATCTTTTAAGATAGACAGTTATCATCAGTTTATGCAGTTTATCCTTGAGAGGCTTTATAGCAGCTGCCAAGATGGCTTGGTTTTTACGGCGTGACATTTTTCACGATTAATTTTCACTCTCGCTAGAGTTTGTGTTGTGCCGTTTATTTTCACAAACAAGACGTAATTGGTTTGAAAGAGTGCACACATTTACACTTGTAAGAATACACACATTATAATGTTTCTTTAAAATAGTCAGCATGTTATATCACATTTATAAGGTAAATATCCACTTATACTTATACAAACTTAATCTCAAACTGTAAACTGGAGAAAGACCTGGTGTTTTTAATTTATTGGGGAAATATTACAATGTTAGGAAGTAATAACAAACTCACCCAAGGAACAAAGTTTGTTCAGTTAAATTCGATTAGAATAGAACTGAAATATCCTTTATTGCCCCACAGTGGGGAAACATTTAGCAACAGGACATCACTTACTCTGCCTCTATCACATTTTATGAAATTGGAGCACAAAGAGAATGAGTTCAAACATTCTGCTTTGCAAAGTCTCTGCAGTTTTTTTCTCAGGCTTCCCACTCATGTTTAAGAGAATTTATGTATGGGAACCAAGCTAGTCCTGGAAGGCATTGACTTTGTGTTTGATGAACCATTTTTGTGTTGATTTAGCCATATTTCTAAGTTGGTATGGAAGTGAATTGGAAGAGATAGAAACCTGGAGTGACTTTAAACAGGCCTCCCCTGTCTGCTTGAAAATTTTCCAGTGATGCTGAATTTAAAGATTGTCCAAAGAAGAGAAAATCGTCACTGTGATGATCAAGACTCTTGCATGTGATCACACATGCATGGTGGGAGTTTTTGCTGTAAAAGGCAACATAATTAGTTATTGGGTTTGTTTTGAATGTCTTCTTTACCTTCTATCAGATCTGTCACACTACTTAGTTTAAACGTGCAGGCAGATATTGTTACAAAGCCCGCTGTCAGTGAACAGTAATGTAATAGTCTGCTTGACTTTTTTTTAATGAAAAAATAAACATTTTCCTTACGAAACTGTTTAATATTATTTTGACCAAATATTAACCAGTTATAATGTCACCTCATGAACATTTAACTTTTCTACTACTGTATTACCAAGTAATTTGTTGATAGATATTGGATGACAGTAATGTAAAAAGACAAAAAATTATCATTCCGGTGCTTAGTACACAATTTCTATGTTTACATAAAACTGTTCTAGATCAGAAAATATGGATATTTTCTAATATTTAAGGTCAGGATCAAATTAGAGTCAATCCTGTGTTTTCTACAGATAAATGTAAAAAACATCTTCCTTAAGTCTGAGAGCCACCACAGGTTTGGTATTTGATACTGTGCCAGAAACATGAAATCTGTTGTCAAATGGAAAATAAAACATTTGGTTATTGCAGTTCAGGGAGTCGAGTCAAAATTGGTTTATGGGTAGAGTTATCATGCAAAGGCAAACACAGGCATCTTCTGTTTGTACGAGTCTCTCTTGCAGATCCAAAACAGAGAACAAGATGCATCTTAAAAAGAAATGAAAAGCTGGAGAGGGGAAGACGCATGAAGAACATGAAGAAGTAATGATAAGCTGAAGAGCAATAAGCAGAGTAAGAAAATGCAAACTTAAGGTGATTAATATCTTACTGATTTTTTTTATGGGTATAACAATTTGTTGGAAATAAAACATCAGCAGAAAGTGATATTCCACTGAAAACATGCTTTTGGATTAATGCAGCCTTTACACATTAAAATACATTCAGATTTCCCTTCATTTCTTTATTGATGATTCATTATAATGAATCATCAATTCATTATAATTGATGATTCAGATGGAGAGCTCTCCATGCAGATGGAGAGTTACAATCCCAGTCAGTCATTCAGATAAATTCTCAGTCAGAATTAGTAAAAGCTAGAGCCATGTATTAGTTCAGTATCAGACCATGACCAGAAGAGAGAAGAAGCAGGCAGGAGAAAGTGCAGCAGAGTCAACAGAGAAAAGACCAAGTTACTTGGACTGATCCATGGCTATCTTCTTGATCTTCAGACTGTAGTCAGGACAGATGGATGAGATGGACAGACGGTCAAATGAGTGGCGCTGCACCCTGGAATATGTGGGGACAAGAGAGACGAATGACAAAAAAATGATTTAATGTCGGGATGGAACGGCTGAATTGAGACAGAAATCCAAGTGATGGAAGATGGTCAGAGGGATGATGTTGGAAGAGTGATGAATAAATCTCTCTTGGAGAGAAGTTGTGCCTGAGGAAGGAGCAGACACTGTGAGACAGAGAACAGCAGGGCACAGGAAATATTAAGATGATCTGTGGCCACATGGGAGGAAACCCAACCACATCATTTTACTTTTCTGGAGAATCTGTTTCAGTTAAAACCCGATATTATATTTTTCAAAGTGAAACTTTTCTTACTTTCTGACATCAAATAAAAATTTTTTTGTCATGGTCAGTCAGAATTTAGAGAGATTCTTATTATCTCCTTGCATTTCTTTCCCTAAATCTACTGGAATTACAAGGCCTTTAAAGAACTAGTGAAGGCCAAGCTGAAAGAAAAGAAGACAAAAGCAAAGAGATTGTTTAGATGTTCATGGAAAGAAAATGTATTGGAAGGACTTTCTCATTTAAATAATGTTTAACTTAATTAAATGCAGCGAGTGGGTTGGGTGCAAGTTTCACCTACCTCAGGAAATCAAATTACTCCAAAAATGGAGCAATAATTTGATTTTAATTTGATTTTAGTACTTTATTATTTAAAATACTTGATAGCTAAATCATAAAGCTAAAAAAGCTCAAAACGGGAACTTCGCTGTCATCTTATGTTTGTTTCCCAGGGGAGAATGATGCATTTTCCTGGAACATAGTAGCGTTTTATACCACAATAAAGTTACTTTGTTACCTTCAGTTGTAACATAGTAACTTTGCTGTCAGTTGTAACAACTGAAAATAAGTTTGACTTTCCATCTTATCTGATGTCTGAAATTGGCCTCTGTCTCTTTAAGAAGCTCCTAACCTTTCCAACATCATCACAGAAATGCTTCTTCTTGATGCTGTTTAAATCAGTTCTTAGTATTGGACTGAGAAGTAATGAACTCAGCAGACTTGCAGCTCCATCAGGTATTTGCTAACATCTGCCAAGAGGAGATAAGGTTATAACAAGATAAAAAGCTCAGTAGAATCGATTTTGCACAATACCCACCCTTCCATCTTTTAAAATTGTCCTGTTTTACATTCACGTATATTGCATTGCACACAATGCAACATTGATTTTACTTCTAATGTAAGTGATTAACTCAAAATATAGATTAGTAATGATATTTTATTGTTCTTAAGGGTAAATCAGATTTGACTAAGCTCGATTTGATTGCTTAACCTTTATATAATATAACACATTTAATGGTGCATCTCTACTACTGATCTGCTTAAAGCAAATCCTAAAATAACCATCCCTACCTCCATGTGACAGGCTTACCAGAAAATTGTTAAAATAATAAAGATACAGTTTAGACAAATCATGCTTTCTGTACAATACAGCTTTAATTTAATCTCTTTGGATAAGCATGTATTAAATCTTAAAATCTAGAAAAACTGCAAACATACAACTATGTTTCTTGTGTGCATCTAATGCTCAAGTGCTTCCTTCTGGTTCTCATCCAGTGAAGGCAGCCACAAGTCATGAGGAGTTAAGTAACTATGTCCTTTGGCACAAAAAAAAACACAAACTTTTCAGCTGAGCAGAAATGTGGTCGGAGCATAAACACCCTGCATCTCAGATGCAGCCAGCGTTAAAATGAGACTTAGATTGAATATCATGTGACACACAGCAGATTTTTATGTTGATGCCAAACAAAATTTGTTGAGGCATCTGTCCTGCTGGCCCTTCAGATACAAACATTGCCTGTTCAAGCTGGCTGGCTTAATCTTGTCATGTGTAAAGTCAAAACCTGATTCTTACATTTTAAAGAGAAATAATGCAATCCCTGCAGCAAATGTGTGTTGTATGACCAAAGGCATGACTGGATATTTGTATGTGTAAATAGTAAGACCTGATGGGTATGGAGGAAAAGGGCTTCTTGTAGATGTCAGCCAGTTTGTCCATGACCACGGTTGCTGTGGTGAAGATCCTGTATGTGTGCAGGAAGGTGTTCAGGAAGTCTATAGAGAGGAAGCGCAGGTCCGTCAGCCGCTCCAGCAGCCGCTCCACACTCGCGTAACGGATCTGGGGGACCTTGCAGGAGTTGAGCGTCTTGCTGAAGCAAATGTCAATATCATCTTTATGGAGGCGTACATCGGATCTGATGAATACACACACACGCGCGCGCACACACACACGGACACAAACACAAAACAGCATGTGGGTGACTGCAGGGCAGCTGAGCAAGAAAACTGTATTAAATGCAACTGAGCAAAAATAAGGTTAAGCCAATAAAGAGAGAAATAAAAATGAAAACTACAAATTAAAAAGAAACAAACATAATACATAAAACTTTGACTTCAAACAATTACTTTTTCACATGAACATGGATCTAGTATCAAAATGGTCACAAAACTTTTAGATGTAAAAGCATCTTGGTAATTGTGATTATGATTGTTACATGCTCTCTTAAGTGTCCAAATTTTCAACCAATAAGTGAAGATGACATATTTGTCTTATCTTACTGAGGTTTTCATTTCTATAACTAGGCATGGGCTGGTATGACAATCTTTATATCCCTGCATAAAATGACAGTGGTTGCACAAATTTGACATATTATCATAAACATTTAAAAGAGGAAAATATAAGATGATGCAGCTGTTTTTGTTTTAGTCCCTTATCTAAGGTTTTGTGCTTTTGTTATCTATTTTTTGAGGGGAGAAGAAAAGAGAGCCTTCTGCAAAGGGATGTTTTGTACTCGCTTTGATTCTCAGTAATTTTGTTATTTGTCCACAGTGCACATTAGCTATATTTGGCTACGGGACTGCAATAAATGGTTTAAACCAGCAGGTCAAATTTTAAATTACAAAGCGGCTTTATTGCACAAAATGCCCTCCTTTAATGTTCTCCAAGGAGTAACTCTTTCTTCCTTATGTTCCTGAAGAGTTTAGCGTTTGTATATGAAAATTGTGCATGAAGGCCGGATTTTAAATAAGTCAGGCTGACAGCATAGGTTTCATCAGCTGTTTAACAGACATGGAAGCTCATAACTTTCAAAAAAGTATTAAGTTTGTAATGGGCTCATTTAGACTCATTTTACGTTCCTACTAACTGACCTGTGAGAAAAAAGTGCAGTGGAAAAAAAAGCTGTGCTAAGCAACGGGTGGTAGAGAGGGGATCAGAGCATGCAACAGAAAGTAAAATCTAAGATAAAATTCTTAGATAATCTCATTAAAATAAACCAGCTTCATTAAAGGTTTCGCCTGACATTTTACTTTCTAATTTGTAGGTCTAGCTCAGAGGTCAGCAACTTCAGTCCTCGAGTTCAAATACCCTGCAACCTTTGGAGGCATCTGTGTTCTATCACATTAATATCAAATACATTTTTAGTGATCAGGCTTTTGCAAAAAAGCAGAGGTTAATGAGCCTTTTGATTCAGGGGATTTTCAACAAGGACGAATGCAAAAGTTGCAGGACTCAAGAGCTGGAATTGCAGATATTGCAAACTGGCCCATGCCTATTTAAAATCCAAACTTGTGTCAATTTTGAAACTAATTCCTCTCCATAGCACTCTACTTTGAGCATGCAACTTGTTCTAGGTGCATAGCATGAAGATATGTGTGCTTTTCTTCACACAAAGATACTTACTTGATCATATAAGGCACAGTGACCTTAGAGTTTTCCTCAAACACACTCGTCATCAAGCCATTACAGCGGATATTGTCGATGCACTGTAAGTATACAGAGAACAACAATGAACCAAAGGCAAAATATTTTCTAAACATTATAACTGGTGGAGAGAGCAATAGAAAACATCCCAATGTAGTTCAACCTGTTTTATTGTATTTCATATTTCCTGCTCTAAATTATTACAAAGGTAGGATTAATAAGAATATGTTAAGACAAGAAAGCAATTTATAAATCCATCATTGTATTCTATGTGACAAGAACTAATCTAGTGTACCATGCTTGTATGCTGTTACCTTGTTTGTGAAGCACAGAGGCAGCGAGCCCAGGGGAACGGCACCACTCTCTGTTTACTCATCACTAAGCCCCCTCAATGCCCAGCGGAGACATGCTCTTGCTGTTTGGAGGTGTTCTTGTTATTATGTGTTTGTATGGATCTGTGTTGGTGTATTACCTGGCTAATATCACTGGTCCATGCAGCCTTCTCCTGCCGCGACGGTGCCAGCAGCACCACAGTAAATGAAGGCGAGTCTGATGGCTCCACCACCAACTTAAAGTCCAGCTGACCAAACACCTGGCCAGCCGTTTTAGCTGCAATACAGAGGAAAACAATCAGTATTTCACACTTCAACATACACCTAGATGCATATGTTCCTAAATATTTATAAGGAAAACAGCAGCACTGAAGGTTAATTAGCCAAATTATATTCTGAGTATTGCTGAGGATTAGTGGTAAAATGGACCATGAATATCCACATGAATGCTATACACATAAATACAGTCTGGATTTATGTGTATAATTACCAATCCTAGAAACAAAATGAATTTTTACATAAAGGAGTTACATTTCTATAATGTGAAAAGATCAAACCATGGCATTTAAAGGGTGAACGCCTGATATTTAAAGGAAATTAATTATTGTTTGACATCTAATTAACCTTCAAAAGAGATGAAGTCTGAATAACCCAACACATAGGAGACAAAGAAAAGGAAACACTGATCTTACATTCGTCATCAGTAGCATCTGGTTCCTCTATGAGTGTGCAGTCAATAAGGGACAAAACCCCACCTTGCTGTTAGGAAAAAACAGGAAGAAAAAACATTCTAGATTCCTTTCCCTACTCATGTGTTGTTGCAGAACACAGTGTAACAAAGATGTCACCTTCAGGAGGTGTAGTTTTCCACCAGAGCTGCGAGTGCAGACGAGAAAGTGTTTTGTGAAGAGAAAACACTGTCGTTCTCCCTCTTTCTTCAGGGAAAGGGAGCCGAGACGAACCTTGCTGAGCTTCCCTCGCTCCACGGACGGCAGCTGGATCAGAGAGCCTGTGGAGCAGGAGCGGCATATCACTCATCATTAAACTGACTGAAGAGAAGAAACACACACTGAACTTGTTTACCCAGGTCTCCTACATATTCTTTATGTTCAGTTTTTCGCAACTGATTTGATCAATTTATGTGATTAGAATTCAAATTCCTGCGATTGTTTATTGAGCCGCCACAACATTTCTTTGTGCATCACAGAAGCAGCTTCTCATTCTTCCAACAAACGTGCAAATACTTTTAGACGTTTACCAATTGCTTCCACACAATTCTCTGCTGCTTTATGACAGTGTTATATACTTAAGTCATGTCAGTCAAAATGAACAATAGCTATGAATGAATGCTAACTAGTCATTCCCTCTAAAACTCATCGCATACATGTGTCACTACAAACAAATTTTATTTAAACAGGTGTCAAAATCTGCCAACTTTTTTTTAATCGTTCTTTCCTTTCCAAAACTGAACAATTTTTGTCAGGAGAAACTCAGTTTTTGTGAATGATATTGTTTACAATTGTCACAATTTAGTCCAAAGGTTGTTTATTGTGTTTGGTGTGAATAAGTTTATGCTTTTCTTTTGCATAAAGCTATGAACAAATGAGAGCTGCAAATGAAATGTGTTTAGTGCCTTGTCCTTATTTACTTCACTAAATCCATTAACTTGTAACTTCTAAATGTAGAGTCCAAATAGCTGTGCAAAAACTATAAAGTGCTGTGTTGAGAAGTTTTAGGGTCCATCATTAAGATTTGACTTTCATTGACATAAACATTTGCTTTTGAGGAATGAACTATGCATTTTAGGTTTGGTAGTTTGTTCTCATTGTTTTGAAAAATGTACAAGATGTTGTGCAAATGTTAACAAAGATGCAAGACATGCACTAAAATTAATTTTTGGGGGCATATTTTTTACTACAGTGAGCCTCTGAATGGACAAATAAATAAAAGGATGGGAAGATGCATTGCTGAACAAATGGAGAGACATGGACGGACGGACAGATGGATGAAATATTTCTTTACATTCTGAAACCAAAAACCAAATTCCCCACTTTTCTAGACTGAGAGGAAACCAGCTTTACTAAATGCCTTTGAGTGTTTAGAGAATTTTTGTGAAGGATTAAAAACATGGTCCGAATCAGAAAAAACAAACCACTTCTGATGACTCAGCTATACAGAGGGAAAAACTCGGCCTGATTTCCTAGGACAGTTTAACATGCCTTTCACGACTTGTAGATCTCTCCCAGCCAACAGAATTGATAATAAAACCACTGACAGGTAAATCACATTGACTATTTGGTTACAACACGTTGTTCTGCTGGGAAATCTTGGTTCCTGGTATCCATCACCTATTTCAAGGCAGCACCACTCCCAGATGACATCGCCCCTCTTAACAAGACTGTGTGTTTCACCACATGGTAGAGACAGCTCAACAAGCATAAGATCCTAATCTGTAGGATCAAGTGGAAAACCCAATCATCAAAAAGAAAATCCTGCAACCCATAGTCACCTGCTGCTATTTTCCAAAAGCCAAACACCACAGGATGCCCACAAAGGTTCTCTATAAATGCCACAAGGGGCTGCGGCTGTTTTTCACAGCACAACATCAGACAAGTAGTTTCATTACTGCTGCTAAATGAGAAAATTTTATCTAATTTCACTAATCTGAGTAAATTTGATCATTTATGTTGTCATAAAACAGTAGAAAGCTGTTATCAGGTTTCTACACTTTGAATTACAATTAGAGCATCCAGGATGAACACCAGAGTCCATATTGAATTAATGTAACTCAATAACTCCTCAACATAATTCAGTTTTGAAAGATTGCATTTTTATAATTACTTGTTGCTTAAGGTGTGCTGTGCCAAGTAAGGTATGTGGAGTAATAAAAGTAATTGAGTGGTTTTACTTTGTTAAACCAGGCAGAGCCTATGGTAAAAACATGCATGCATGTGTTTAGTTGCATACAGATGTGGAGCAACAGATGCAGGAGGGAAAACCGAACATCAAAATGCAGATTTCGACAGAATCGTATCATTTGCAAAGGGAAAGAGGAGAATCTGAGGCTCCCAAAGTATATAGTGGTGCAATTGCCAATACCAGTCAGTTACCGAAGCACCTGCCAGTCAATATAGTGAGTGGTCAGTTACATTCACGAGCCATCATCCCAATTCCTTGATAAGGTTTTAAAAAATCACTTTTGGTGTCAGTAGGAGATCCTTTGGCTGCAGCTGACAGCTATCCAGTCTGTGAGGCACACAGACGTTACACTACTGGGACAAGAGCCCAAAAAAACTGCTGTCAAAGCGCTATTTGAATGAAACAAGGAGTTTTTTGTATCAGGTAAGACACAAACTGCTGTTATGAACTGATGAAGACTCACCCTGCCTGACGAAGGTCTGGCTGGTGTCCAGCAGGATGTCACATCCTTCAACAATCATCCTCTCAATGGCCAGATTCTTCCGGATGTTTTCTGTGTCGCTAACCTCATCGTGCATCACTCTGGACACACAACAATGAAGTTATTTCAATTTTTTATAATCAGAGAGAGTAGAAAAGATGTTGAGTATTTCAGCACCTACCTAGATAATTCCTCTAATTTGGACTTGGCAAACTCAAGACTCTTGCGCTCCACATGCTCATGGGGCGTGTGGGCCAGGAGTTCGTGTAGTGTTATGATGTAACGAGGGATCTTTATGGAGTAAAGAGCATTATGGAAAAGCGAAGTTGAGTGGAGATATACATTTAATTCAGTCGTGCAAAAGTTTGTTTCCAAGCATCAGAGTGTGGCAGAGTTTATGATCTACCTGGAACATTGGGTATGTGAGAAAAGTCTCAAGCATCCTTCCTTCACAGGCAGCGTTGGACTCGTATTGTTTCAGCAGTTTGTCAAAATCTCTGTTCTGCTTACAGTTGGCTAAAACTTGAAGGCTGTACTGATGGTTACGCACAAACTCCTGGTAGATGTTTAGCATTGGCAGCAGGATGTCAAACAGGTCAGCTGGAGGTAAAAACATACAATAGAAATGCACATGCAAAAAAAAATAAAAAATCATATTTTCCCCCCATTGCTTTTGAGAACATTATCTGTCTCACTGTGAGTACGTTTGCCACAATTTCTGTTGGTAATAAGAGCAAAATTGTCTTCAGTGTTTAAAATTTTTGTGGTCAGTCCCATAACATATAAAAATATAAACATAAAATCAAACAGTTTTCAAGCATAAATTTTATTTAATTCAGCTATAAAATGATAAATCAGACAACGAGAAGAAGAAAATGTCCCCCAGGTATTTTTTCAGTAGAAGCAGCAGAATACAAATGATTTATTAGATATACTGAAATTTGAATGTCCTTACTAGAGTACATACAGTACATAATTTATGAAGCTTAACGATGCATTGAGAAAGTGTCTGGTGATTAGAAATTCATACTTTTCACCTTAATCAGCCCAAACATGCTGACTGACCAATGACTGAAAAGTTGAAAACAATATTTTTGTGCTGATTGGTGAGAATGCTGGACTGACCATTCCCTGGTCAAGCTAACAACATTCCTCAGTGTGTAAAGTTGGACAGTTTCACAAGCCATTTAATTCTCTAAGGGTTTCATTTAGGCTGCATGATAGTGAGAGAGAGCAAGACTTTCAGCCAATAACATTTAATGTGTTAATGGCTAAATGTATTAAAGCAAAGTTGTTTTTTTCCTGTACTTCAAGCATTCAATCAATGTCTACCATGGAAAATATTACATTTTGTAATGTTATTAACATTCTGCAAATCTAAAGGTGATGGTAAACTTATGCATTTTTGAGAATATAGAGACTACATTAGTAATTTTAGCCACACAAGATGGTAATTGCTTTTATAATTTGCTAAAGATTGTTTATGATTAAATTCTCTTACCATTTTCTTTTTGTTTTAAAATATCTGTGAAACTTCTCTCAAATGTAGGGTGTGACATTGCATTTTTTTCTGAAATAAATAATTAACACTTCCTCACATAAATGAGCTTTTTGCTAAATTGAAACAGAAATTGTCTAAAATCAGTATCAGCAGATCAAAACTGCTCAAAATAGATCAGACATTCAACCCCTTCAGTTCTTAATAAAGTCTATTTAATAAATATAGTAATCACAGTCTCAAACATCTTCTTAAAATGTATTTATGACCTGAGAAGGGAAAAAACAAACTTATATAAAAAACAGAGACTGCACAGCTATTTTTGTTGGAAAAAGGACTGGCTGCATAATGAGGGGATCTCAAACATGTTTTCTACAGCAGTAATTGATCTGAAAGATGTTGGCGATAAAATGTCTACATCTAGATTCTGCTTGAAAAGAAGAGTCACATCAGGTCGACAAGTTTAATCAGCGCTCTTCTCTATGTTATAATTTGTCACCAGTAATTTGCTGCCACATCTGTCAGCCGCCTGTCTCCAGGGTGATGCTTATCCGCTCAGGGTTTTTTTTTAGGGGTGAGACGGCGAGAAGCTTCTGGTCTGGATAGTTATTGTCTGTGGAGACAATGAATCTGCTCGGTGCAGACTGAGATAGGAACGCCGGGGTTTTTGTGAATAGGACTAAGTGACATTAACAGTGACGTCTAGTCTGAATAGGAAATATTGAAGAGGAGAATCGCTAAAAAGCCGACCTTCATGCCTTCAGCGAGCGTGGTTATGGACTGTGTTTGTGTGCGCCGCTCTGTGCGAGTGACAGCTCACCCAGCACCAGGGTTGGCCAGTTGGCGATCCTCGCTTTCAAGCCTTGATGGAAAATCTCATGGAGGAACATGATGGTCTCACTGGGAACATATTGAAAACACATTAATAGTGTCGACTTCAGGAAAGTTTACAGAAAAGCTGAGAAGAGTTTCTGGTTTTATTTTTTAAAAGTAATAAAAAGGCACATTCAAACATACGCCAACACACCTGTTGAGGAAGACGCTGCTCACATCATCATGGCTGATGGGAGGTTTCTTTGAACTGGCGGCCATTCTCAGAGGTCTGAGGAAACAGTTGACCAGGATGTAGAGCTGGTGGACATACCTGTCTCACACACACACACACACACACACACACACGCACACACCCACACACACACCCACACACACACACACCCACACACCACACCCACACACCCGCACACACACACGCGCGCGCACCCACGCACATAGGTAAAAAAGTTATGAAAGGTTGGTTGTTCCACAAGATAATATAGTGGGGTCATAAGTCAGAAAAGGAGGAACAGATGGAGGACGGATGCCTTCTGGTCAATCTGACAATCTGAAGCCGATGCATTTTGTCAGGTCTAGTTTTAGTATTGCCCATAAAAATACAGTCAGTTGTCATCCTAGATATCATGAGAGATTATTCATAGAGCTTTATCTGCTAAACAGTCACCAGATCAGCCACTATATAAATGAATAATTAACTATTTTAAACAATCAAGCCATAAAATACGTGATCCTAAAGTTTCTCATGCAAAATGTTGCATGACCAAACAAAGTTTTTTTTTTGTTCATCTTTAATTGTGTTTTCAATATTATTAAAATTCAAACATGTTTTTTTCTTCTCTCTTTTCTTTCTTTAATAAAGAACACCCCCAGTAGAAAGTCTTAATTTCAACTTTTATCTAGCACCAGATAATATTTTATAATATTAACCAAAATTAGTCCGTGTAATAATCACCTTGAGAACACTGTGATATCTGTGTTGCACTCCTGCTGCTAATTTGACTAATTCAAATGTGTAAAATTAAATTTAAAGTAAAATTACATTTACAGAACCACCAAACTGTTATCAGGCTATTTCCATAGGAAGATAACCATGACCATTTAGATGCAGATTGTGATGTTGCTCAAGGCATAATGTATTTACATACTCTGTCTCTGCCTCCACCATATTGAAGACAATCTGGTTCCTCTTCCTCATGCTCTCAGCATGTGGAGAGCAAATGTAGTCCTGGACAATAATTTTCCACTTTCTGCGACACAGCCAGCCGCGCATGAAACTCTGAACCTATGGAAGAAAAAGTTTAAAGGTTAATGCACATATGAGAAATGAGAAATAAAGGTGATTGTTACAATGTTTACCTTTTTGATTTTTTTGATATCTGGGTCTTCGTTCTCGTGGTAGACGTGATAAGGCCGCATCCGCTCCTTGGTTTTGTTCAAAGCTACAATCTTTTAGGAAAAGAGATTTCAGTTCAGATTCAGAAATTATTGTCAAGTAAAACAGCAGATGCATAACAAATCCCTTTCATTATTTATGAACAAAGATATTTCTTAAAATAGGATTTCAGAGTATTATGTAATTAACAAAATTAGGATGCCCCACTTTTGCTTCCAGCTGATTCCCTGAATATTTCTAGTTCAGAGTGTGCTCAAAGAATCGTTGGTGTGTTTATAGTAGATACCAATCAGACTCCCTCATCACTGAAAGCCTTCATTCAGAACAGAAAGCAGGAAGGAAACATGGAGGACAGCTCGTTCTGGCTAACAGGAAACACATTCTGGCTAACATGTGGACAAGAAGAGCAAAACTTTCAGCAAAACAAAACAAAAAAAATCTTCACAGATTTATATACTCCAGTGTGACATTATTTAACCCGTTTGTTTCTACTTTCAACCCAATTAACAGTATCTGCTTCTGACATATGTGGTCGAGCACAAGTGATAAAACCAAATACATTTTCTGCTACAATGCATCTTTATTTTCCCATTTGTGAGAGTTATCATGCAAATTATAGCAAAGAAGAACCAGTCTGCCAAGTCCTGAGAGTAACACTCGCTAGTTTGTTTAAATATTCATAAATGCAGAGCAATACACACACACACACACACACACACACACACACACCCACGCACACACACACATACGCGCACACACACCCACACACCCTCCCCCCCCCCCACACACATACGCACACACACACCCACACCCTCCCCCCCCCCACACACACACACACCCACACACAGAAGAAAATAAACAAACAGACATACACCACTATGTTTTAATGAGATGAATAACCAGCTGCACATTGGCTCTTAAGTTCTAATCCTTTTTTTTCATAAGCAGCTTCATTAAACATGCAGATGTTTTATATTGCAAAATAACTTTCATTATTATTGTTTTATTACTATCCAGCATCCTGGCAATAAGATTCGCCAAAACAACGCAGATTAGACAGAAGTGGAAGTGGCACACTTGTTGCTCAAAGAGAAATTGACAACAGTGAGTGCGTCATTTCGTCTCAAAGACAAGATTGCACATGTGAGCTTGGATGTTTCTGCTAGCGATTACTGACACAAATGAGCAGAGACCAAATTAGAAACAACAGCAGAGCTTTGATTTATTGAGAGTTTACCAGCTGGACCATTGAACAAACAGCACCCCCTTTGAACTATCGTTAATTGCAGCAGAACACAATTTCAAACGAATCCCTGTGAAATTAGGAACAACTTTGGAGCTCTTTCTGGTTATGTCTGGGACAGATCAGCATTTGCATCATTCAAAGTAAGAAAACTAAAATCTTCCTTTGTGTTTTCAATTTGTTCAATTTGGCTGATTAACTGCAGAGGAATTAAATCTGACAGAATCTGCTATAATCCAAATCATGTTAAGACAATCTGCAGAACATGGTTTTCCCAATGAGTCATAAAAGTGATAAACAACTCCATAAATGATGTTTAGTTAACTAAAAATGCTGTGCATGTTTATCCTGTGCTTGTTGATTTGATACAACAAGCATGTGTCAGTGAGATAAATTATTTTGAATTAAACCATATGCATCTACGATTGAAAAGAAAATGTTTTTTCTTTTTAATCGTCTTAAATGGAGACCATGCTATTAAAAAGGAGGCTATAAAGTTATGACTTATTGGTGCATGGCATTAGCCAGGAGTGTTACCACAATTAACCTCTTTTCAAATCGTTTGTTTTGCTTTTTTGTCCACAGATAAAGCATCACTGTTGGGTTTCAGCCAGAATTTCTAAACCTAATTTACAGCAACATGTCCTGTAAGGTTTGCTCAGGTTTGCCAACAACGCTCAGAGTAAACGTTGTCTTTGCTCACAATGAGGCTGCGTTTGCCTCTGTTTGACTTTCCTAATCATTACAATAACATTACAATGACCTAAACACATTTCATCCATTTGTTGTCTGCCAACTGTTTGTAATGTCTTAGATATTTAAAGTTGGCAAAAGCAATATTTTTACAGCTTCTGACCAGCCATTTGCATCATGAGGACTTTTTCCACTGCATATTTTAAAGCATTGTGGGAACACTTATGTTTATTAAAGCAAAATGATGCTATAAATCTAATTAATGCTCACAGTTAACTAGTTTCTATTAATTTGTGTGGGGGGGAAGGAAGAAGGGGAACAATTTTGATTAACGATGTTGTGAGGGTCTGTTGGGTTTTACGTGTTCACACAAACATGTCATTTATTGGGCAGCGACGGCTGAACAGAAACAGGACGCGTTCGCTGAGCTTGGCTGTCTGTGAGGACACCAATCAAGTATCTTTATTGAGGGCCTCCTATACCCAGAAGTGACCGAATGCACCAACTCCCTCACTGCCAAGAATACAAACACAAAAACAACCCACAGCAAGCACACCAACACTGACATGTACACTGTATAGGTTTATTCAGATGCTTTCTTTTTGCTTTCACCCTTTGTGATTTGTTAAAATGAGAACACAATACTGTGTGGGCAGGATGGTGAGTAACAAAATATAGAATATGATTGGGAAATAGAGGGAAAATGTTTATGCAAGAGTCCTGCTGAAATGCCTTCTAAGGTTTTTATCCTATGATTTTATCTGTGATCATGCATGGCTTTGTAATGTTGTAGCGCTGTAAAGTACTTGGTGTTTCAAACTCCTTTCCATATTAATGGTCCTGGATTTTTATTAAAAATGATTTGTATCGCTCTCCTGTTGCAGAAACGTGCCTTGAGGGTCAGAAGTGCAATAAGAGCAGAGACATAAGACCATCCAATAAACAGTTGACTGAAAGAGTTGTTTTAATGGAAAGCACTAAATCCAAGTCCATTCGTAAAACGCTTTAATTCTCTTTATTTAAATGTTGCCATTTTAAAATGTGCACACATTGCTTTCAAATGCCAGATGTTTAAAACTGAGGGTGAAAAGGTAAAAAACATCAATTAAATTATTCTGAATTAAACCATGTGCACCTACGGTCAGAAATGCATATTTTCTACCTCTGATTTAAGTCTTTCAATTTCCGTGTCCTGGTCCTCCAGCTGAGTGCGGAGCTGATTGGCTGCCACCTTCTCAGTCTCCACAATTTGTACAAGGTGGATGTACTTCTGCATCAGCACTTCTCGTTCAATAATTATGTCAGAATAGCTGTGAAAAAAGAACATTTTATATTAGAAAGAGCAGCTTACATACTCATAAGAATGGACGTCTTAATCACTTTGAACCTTCAATTATCTACATTTTTTCTAATGTCGAATAATCAAATATTGAATAAAACATTTGTAAACTGGCAGAGTAAAAAAATAATCTCAGTTTCATCAAGTTCCAGAATTATTGCAACCTTTAAAGTAAAAACCAAACACACATCTCCTCCCCCCTGCACCAAATTCAGTCTCAAATGAGTGAAGTATTTTTTCTTCTGAGAAATTTCAGTTGCATTTGTAATGATTCTATCTTAGTATAAATGGTGATTGAGAGCTGCGGTATCAATGCAGTAAAAGCAAATGTAACTAACAAAGCTGCTTGAAAAATTAAAACCATTCTGTTATGTTGAGGAGGAAATTAGCAACCATCTGCTACTAGCAGTAGTCCCAGCACATTATCATTGGTTTAAGGCTGTTTGTTGCTGTTGCCGAAGGATATGGAAAGAATTATAAACCACTTCTAAACTATGTGGCTATATTTATACGATTAAGTATCTTTTCTGGGAAAAATCCCGTCTCAGCTGGACAAGGAGACAGTGGAGATGCTCTGTGATCGGAAGGATCAACAGCTAAACCTGCTTCTAAAAACCACATCAGAATCTGGGTTCAACAAGGCACAGATAAGAAAACTATCTTGGTTTTGTAAGTTAAGAAAGTCAGCATCTCTGAGGATATTTTAGTGTCTAAAGTCCATGACGTTGGTGACTTGCATGTGTGGAGAGATGGTTTTAATCCAGAGGATCTGGTGAGATTTAGTGCAGCACTCAGTGTGGTTTCTGCTGTCGCAGTCGAGCCATTATTTTCAGTTCAAAGGTGGTTTTCCACATTCTTTTGTCATAACAGCTGTTTTTTATTTGATTGTTTCTAACATCTTGAACTATACTGCAACCAACAATGTATTCCTGGCAACTCTTCCGAGATATTCTCTTTTTTAGACATTCTCTAAAAAACATAACTAAAAAAATCATAAGTCACTTCAAACTCCTCTCTCCTATTCTGATACTGTTTGAACTTCAGTAAGTTGCCTTCACCACACCTAGGTGCCTAAAAACATTAATTTTCATCATTTTGACAAATTGAACCATGCTTTCAGAATAAAAACACAGGATTTTGACAAGCCATGTGATGCCATAATGTCGATGTGTAAGGAAGAATGGGGAATGTTTCTAAAACCTTGCAAATCTATGACATGATAACGTAATTACACAAAATTTCCTACAACCTTTGATGGGGGTAAAAAGCCATGCAACAGGAAACTGTTCAGAAAAATGTCAATAAACATTGACTTGCCTGTGTTGGCTTATTTTACAATTGGCTACACAAAAGGTTAGAGTTCCACAAATTACATAAAACTTTACTTTTACCCTTTGCTTACCCATACACATAATTAATAGAAACCAAATGAAGTTAATTGTTTCAAAAAAGGCAAGGTACATCAATTCTTTTTATAGAGCAATCATAGACAAGGTGATCCAAATTGTTTTACAAGACATCAAAGGATAGAGAAGTAAAAATGCTCTGATTGATTATTTATCCAATAAAATCATTTCTAGAATTTGCTCTGGCCAGATCCTGATGTTTGAGAGTTCAAGAGTAATCGTAAACAAACATCCGTAAAACAAAATGAAATGCATCTCAACATTCAATCTTTGGTGAAGGAAATAGTAAATATGAAGTCAAAGTGTCTGAACTCAGAAAGTCAGATTCCTCCCTCAAATTTAACCTGAATGAACCAACGAATAACCGCAGCTGTCCTAAACATACCTTATAAATGTGGTTGGTTTAATCAAAACCAGTTTCAAAACAGTCAAGATTTATTATTAGTATCTATATTATCAGATGAGAGGGTTTTCTCTCTTCTAAAATAAGTTTAGTCCCAAGAATAAGTTAAATCTCTCCTCTTTAAACCAGCTTTGGGTAAATTAGACATGATGACTAATTAAAGTTAGATTTGACCAAATCCTGATGTAACAACATATCCTCTTTCCAGGAACATGGTCAGAGAATACAACTTTAACTTTAACCCCTATTTACAACAGAAGTATTTGCCATGGCTTTATGTACCTCGCCTGCTGGATGGCCTCCACCCATTCATCACACTCGCACTCCTCATCTGTCCGCAACTCCAGAGGTTTCTGTCCATCGTGGCCAAACACAATCAGGAAGTAGTGCTAAGAGGAAAAAGAAAGGAGACTTGATCAGAAATCTGATGCTCCAACAAATAAGAACATGTTGTTCCAGTTCATGTACATAAATGTTTGACTGGTGGAAATGTGAAAGTTTGGACTTTGCATGCCATTGATATAGTTCTCTTGTTGCATGAAGCCTTATTTCATCACCTTGAAAGAACTAATCTTGTTGAAGAAACAAAAGAAACAAATCAAAAACAGGGGAGGTTAAAGATATGGATTTCTATCATTCTGACTCATTTGAAATGCTTTTTTAATTTACCCGACAACAATCTCCATATGCAGCCCTGGAAGACAGACAGAAACACACGATGAGGTAGCACTGGTGGCTTAGCACAGCCATTTGCTCACTGAAATAAAACATCGAGTGTCGCCTGCACTTCCCCTCTCCACCAGCCTATTATCATCACCATCAATTAGCCTGTTCTCTGCTGGTCTCTTCCCTCCCGTCTGTTTTTATCAATACGAATATCTGTGTGGACTTCTCTTTAAAAAACTCTCCCACACACAGGCACATGCCACCACAAGCAAGTACAGAGACACGCGTTCATGAGCGCTTTGTGAAGTGATAGAGGCTTTTATTCAAATGGTTGTGTCCCGGGGCAGTGGGTTACCAGAAGAGCTGCTATTTTTAGTCAAGGGAAACTGAACTCAGAGAAGACTGAACTCTGCATGGACTTTCTGTCCTCCTCTCCTGCTCACTTCATCCATCCATCTATTTCCTCCTCCCTCTCCTGTTGCAGTTCACCTATCTTCCCACTCCGCCTCCTCTGCCCCGCTCAGCCAGCATCCTCGCTCCTCTTGTTGTCGAAACCCACTCCTCCTCTTCCTCCTACTCCATCTCCCTTCATCCTTTCATCTCTTTATGTTTCTTTCTCAGAGGGAGGACTCAGTGAACCAAAAAGCGTTGAGCGAGGAGACGGTTGCCCTGTAGCTTTATAGACGGGCTTCAGCCCCTGAAGTGGGGAAAGGTCAGGAACCGAGGAGAGTTTGTGAACATTTAGAGACCTTCCTCCATCTTTATCTGCACCTCCATCAACCTCATCATGCTTATTATGTATCTGTCATTTCAATTCGCCGTGTCACCACATCAACAATAATCTAAGCTCCAATGGGGAAAGAGACAGAAACAGAAGAGCGCCACAGTTACGTAATAAATCTTAACCATCTTCCTAAACTGTGTCACCACCTAACAAGAAAACATTTCCATGGCAATGCAGCGTTTGATGGTTTGGCTGTTTTACGCTTCCATTTTCTGCTATTTGGTGCAGCCATTCATGAGGGCTTTCAATGATCCATCCTGTAATTTTAGACATTAGCGAAAATATCTTCTAGTACAAAATAAAAGCAGATTTTACAGATGGATATGTATTCTCAGCTTAGTTTAGCTTTACATTGTGTATATGAAAAACAATTGTGATTACATGGAGTGACTTACACTCCATGTAATCACAATAAGTTGACAGATAATTAATCACCTGCTTGCTGCTTTGATAACATAGTTCTGGTCAGGTGTTTTACATACATTAATCAGTGGAGCTTTGAGGAGTTTCTTGCTATTAAATGGCCTGCACTTGTATAGCACTATATAGTCACACATTCACACAGTGATGTAGCCACAGCTGTTCTGGGACAATCTGACAGAAGTGCAGTTCACAAATTTTTAGTAGATTTTGGTGTTGATGCTTAACAAGATTCTGCTTAATTTTGTTCCAAAACTAGTGACTGGATGTTTGAGATCATTTATCCAACTGCATCAAACATCTGAACATCCTGGAAGACCAGTTTCACCTTCAAGAGTGAAGAGAGATTTACATAAATTGGCCAAAAGGTTGCCAACAAGGTAATTATTTACTTCTCCAAAATTAATGCAGTCAAACAGGTGTGAAACTTGCAGATTTCCACATGGACAAGCCAAATGCCTTCTGGGGAAAAAAAACAGTTTCACAGGCAAAACAAAGATTTAGTTATTTGGCTACAATTACATAAGGAAAATTCAGACTCTTAAAATTAAGAACAGAGAACACACTGAAAAGCATCGCGACAGAGGCCTTGTCTGTGAGAATGTTTTACTGCCAATTGTACAAAGAGAGCAAAAAATTAAAATAGGAAGAATTACTTCCAAATAGACCTGCAACAAATGGTTATTTTAGTAATCAATAAATCTATCGATTGTTCTGATTCATTGCTTAAGTTGACAAAAAAAACGGCACATCTTGTTTCATACAATATAAGATATACATTAAAATCTTTTTTTTTTTAATTACATTTTTGCCTAAAACTGTTAATTACTTCCTGGTATGTTTTACTTTCAGCTATACAGCCTCTGTTTTGAGTCTGTATATTCCAGTTAACAATCAATTGAGTAATAAATTAGTTGGTAATTTCAGCACAATTAATCCGGACTTTTGGGAATCCACCAGACTGATAAGAAAAACACCATGACTGCAAAGAAATAACCACAACGTTAGCACTTCCTTCACAGCCTTAAAAATGTAAACGTTTTCATCCCAGCCGTAACAGCGTTCTACTGAGACATCAATGCACTAATGCATTCTCGCATGTTGTATCACATCCTGGTTTGGCAGCAGCACAGCCATAGTGAGGCACAATCACAACAGGATAGTGAGAGATGCTGAAAAGATCACTGGTGTCTTGCTGATGCGTCTGCAGGTCATCTAAGCAAAGCCCAGTGTGTGCAGAGTAGATGGCATTTAAAGGACACCATACATCATTTTCATAGGATGTTCAATCAGGTGCTATTCTATAAAAACTTAGGAGTCATGATTGACTCTCTGTTGTCTATGAAAATCCACATTGAACTGGTCTGTAAAAAGGCAAAAACCTATTTAATTTGACACCTGAGGTCAAATGTGCTTCAGACCTAGCGAAAAATGTCTTCTTTTGTTTCAAACCTGAGAGATAATGAGCAATTTGCATTGTTGTTCATGGCATAAAAACCGAAACTGCTTCCTCAAATAAAAAATTTCTCTAACATTGTGAATTGCTAACAATTTGAATCTTCCTAATATAATTAGATAAGCCAATAATATCACCTCTAACCCTGACCATGCTCTGAATAATGCAGTCTGTAACCCTCTGTGAAATGAAGGAAGTGCTGTTCTTCAGTCATTCCTGGCTAAACTCAAAACATTGCCTGCAACATTACATCATCTCCTCATTTTATAATGTGTCATTTGATTAATTTTCATTCTGCCTGTATGTCTGCATACAATAGTGCTATGCAGCACAACCCATTTCAGAGTTGTGCTGACAAGGAAGCATAAAATATAATGTATCTTCTCATGCTCTCCATCCTGGTATTTGGTAAAACATACAAAAGTCACAGGCTCAAATGCTTTTTGTCAAACTCTTAAGCCATGAGATGTGGATTTTATTTAGCATTATGATGAATATTTTTTGTTTGTTTGTTTGTTTTCTTGCTTGGGTTTTTTTAAAAGTCTGCAGTTGTAAGGCGACAAAATGTTAAAATAATAGAAATCCTTGAATAAGGTAGATTTTGTTTTTCAATTTTAGGTCCAGTTGCACCATTGTAGACTTTATGCAGTTTTTATGTTTTTGCACTTCTGTGCCAAATATTAACGGCCGTTAATCTAATTTCTTCCAGCTGTGAAAACTCCCTGCAGCTGCCGAGACAAGAGTAAAAAGAAATGTTCAAGCTTCCAACTGATTAACACTCTTGTTAACAAGATGCACGGTGATAGGCAGGGCTTACTTTGTCCATCTTGCAAAAGGCTCTACGGTGACTCATTAGGCAGCTGATGAGTTGTTTCACCAACATGTCATTTTCACTGACATTTGAAAATGTGCAACAGATCGCTTGTGAAATTGTCTTTTTTTTTTTCCTACTTGCTATCCAGCCTACAGGTATAGTACCACAAAAAAATGTTTTCTGCCTTATGGATTTCCTCAGTGCTTGATTTTTTTTTTTTTTTCACACCTAATTATTTAAGGCCATCAAGCAGATTTTAATAGCAGAACATTACAGCTGGAGTAAATACACATGATGACTTGGTTTAATATGGTAATAAAGCTGTTTAAAACAGCCTGACCCTGTAAAAAGGTAATGATCCTCTCATCCTTATAACCGGCTCAGCAAACATTAGCAGCATCAAACCTTTGTGATACTTGGCAATGAGTCTTTTACATTTGGTCACATTCTTTTGTGTGACTTTTGCACAGCGTTTCAATTAAATTTGATTAGGGCAAGCAAAAAGTTTTTATTTGTGTTTTTACTGTGTTATATGAACACTTACAACTCTCCAAGGTTGTTCTGGATATTTTTTAATTTCATAAAATAAATTATCATTTGGCACTAATTTTCGTATTTGCTCAAGTTACCTTACTTTGACATCAAAATAATTTCATGAACCAAAATATTTAAGTGAGACAAAAAAGTTAACCAGAAGAAATCTGTAAAAGGGTCAGACATTTTTTACAGCACAGCAGATGAGGCAGCTTTTAATAAATGAAAATGACAGAATTTACTTTTCCCTGTTGACAAAACTCTTTCAGCAACTTTCTGCAATCATTGGATCAGTGGTTTGAAAGGGCCACCATTACAATGCTTGCTTAACAAAACCAACAGCCCAAATCTGTGAATTATCACAAGTGCTACAGAAAACGGCGCTGAATTAATGCATAAATCCAGAGCATACAAATTAATATCATAAATCATTGCAAATATTTTATTTGTACATTTTATTTTATGATCTCAAACATTATCCAGGAAATTAATAGTATTTGTAGGTATGGTGAAAAGAAAATAAACCCCTTTTATAGTCAGATGTTTTACCGATTACATTATAAAGCTGTGTCCTCTGGGTATTAAACTAAGAAACTAAGCACAATTTCTTGAACAAAAAATGCACAATGACAAAATTTTGGGTGAAAAATTAAGTGCATTTATATTGCCTTTTAAGAGATTAGAGGTAAAGTAGCAGCCAGGAGCAGATAAGGAA